ACTGGTACGCCCGGGTTGGTGACACGTCTTATTGCGGACTGTTACCTTGTGAACTAGCACGTTAAAAATCTATCTCATCGTTTCGGTCTAGAACAAAGCAAGGTTAATATTCATATTATATTTACACGTCTGGAACATGCATGCATTTAATTCGCCATTGAACGTTAAGCAACCATTCACCATCATCATATACTCTACCAATACTATATAGTGAAGTATTTTTCTTGTACTGTTTTTATTACATGTACCTTCTTTGATTTCCACTGATCAAGATTAAAAAATGGGATGGTGAAACCTTTCAACCACACAAAATATAGGTACTATAGGTCACCGTACGGCCTTCAACAATGAGCAAAGCCCATATCGCATAGTCAGCTATAAAAGGCCCCGAAATGACAAACGTAAAACAATTCAAACGAGAAAACTAACGGCATACTTCATGTACAAAATAATGAACGAAAAACAAATATGTAACACAGCAATAAACGACACTACTAAAGTACAGGCTCCTGAATTACAGAATGTTGTGGTGTTTAAACATGTAGTAGCGCCCAACCTTCCCCAAACCAGGGACAGTGGTGTACCAGTACAACATAAGAACAAACTATAAAACTCAGTTGAAAAGGCTTAACTAATCAGATGGATACAAACAGAAATACATCTAACAAAAACACAGAGGAGACGAGGACGGGTACTTGTAAATCCCAAAAAATAAAAAGACACTAAGTATAGATCTAAGAGTACTCACAGTTACTGACAGGTAGTTCAAAGCCAATAACAACTTATGAAAAAAAATAATGCATCTAAGACTAAATTATCAATCAGTACACATCCAACATCCAATGGATTTAGTATAAAGACGTCATAAACAATCAGAGAACAAAAAAGTCTGCCCGTTTTGACAATTTAAGCAATAGAACTAAGAAAAACGGATTTGAAGCATCATTCCGTGATAAAATAATATTAACATTATCATTAATGGGCAATAACTCTAATTACAATAATTTAATAAAACACAAAAGGATCCGTGACCAGGCTAGGGTCGAACCATATGACTAAAACTACAAAGATTATTTTCTAGACCTTACTTCTAATTGAACTCCAAAGGAACACTAACCTAGCACCGATATGATTGAAACAACAATGGGAGATCATTTTCTCGACCTTACTTCTACTTAAAACTAAAAAGGAACACCAGCCTTGCATCGATATGCTTTTTCTGACCTTTCTTGTAATTCTACTACGAAGGGATATCAGCTCAGCACCGATATGCTTGAAACTAAAATGAAAGTTTGTTCTCAACCTTAGTTCTACTTGAACTCAAAAGGAACACCACCCTAGCATTTATTGATATTTTTAAAACGACGTTCGAAGATCATTTTCTCGTTCATACTTCTAATTGAACTTCGAAGGCACACCAGCCTAGCACTGATATGCTTAGAACTACAATGGAAGATCAATTTCTCAACCTTATTGCTACTTGAACGCCGAGGGAACACAGGCCTAGCAACGAACGATATGCTTGAAACTACAATTGAAATTCATTTTCTCGACCTTACTTCTACCTGATCTCCGAAGAAACACTGGCCTAGCACCAACAGATATGTTTGAGACTACAATAGAACATCATTTTCTCGACCTTACTTGTACTTGAAACCAAAAAGGATTACATAAAAAAAATCAAAGCACGAAAGTGCTGTAAAGGCAGTTAATTACAGGTTGTGTCTATTTTAAGTCCAGTTATATCATTATCTTGCATAGTACAGTGTACTTATCAGAGGTGGCTTTCAGTATTTAAGATTTAGAGTTCTCTAATGATATTGAATAAGTTTTATGAATGTCATATTCTGAGCACTATATGAAGGCGATTGTTCTCACTTGTTTATGAACTAGTGCATTATGTCCAGTTTGTACCTTTTTTATCTATGTTTATAGTCAAATTAGTTATCAAAGGTACCAGGATTATAATTTAATAAGCCAGACGTGTGTTTCGTCTACATAAGACTCATCAGTGACGTTCAGATCAAAATAGTAACAAAGCCAAACAAGTACAAAGTTGAAGAGCATTGAGGACCCAAAATTCCAAAAAGTTGTGCCAAATACGGCTAAGGTAATCTATTCCTTGGATAAGAAAATCCTTAGTTTTTTCATTGGCAATCATAACACATCTCCTTATTTATATAATGATCTATATCCGATGACCTCAGGTACAAAAAAAATGTATGTAACTAAACTATGATGGGAAACCTTTTACTTCTTTCTTTATATAAACTTTTGATTTGGTACCATAGAACTATGTAGAGTAAATGTACATTGCAACATGTCAACTCTCTCAACTCCAAGCAAAATTATATTTCCAAGCATAAAGTAATTTATGAATGAAATAAAATGCTCCGCTGGGGCGCAGCTTGATACGACCGCAGAGGTCGAACCCTGAACAGTTGGGGCAAGTATGAACACAACATTCAAGCTTGATTCAGCACTGAATTTGGATTGTAATTAAATATTTGACACAGCATAGGTTTCTGACACAGAATGAAAGTGGTCTAAGATACTTAAAAAAATTTAATTTACCTATTCAAACCATATCATTATTATTTGCTTTTATATATAAATCAGAAATAACCAATTTAAAATGGAAAATTTTAAAGAAAAAAAAGGAAAAAGAATCCCCCCCCAAATTTTTTGAACCCCCTTATGATTCATCACCCCAAAACTCAATCCCAGCCTTCCCTTTATGGTATGGTACCTTGCAGTACAATTTCAGAGAGATCCATACACTTGAACACATGTTATTGTCTGGAAACTAGAAAAATGCTTGTTTTTTGGCCCCTTTTTGGTCCCAAATTCCTAAACGTTTAGGGCAATTACCCCCAAACTCAAACCCAGCTTTCCCTTTGTGATATGGAACCTTGTAGTACAATTTGATAAAGATCCATACACTTACACACAAGTTATTGCCATGAAACTAGAAAAATGCTTTTTTTTGCCCCTTTTTGGCCCCTAATTCCTAAAATTTGGAGGCAATTACCCCCAAAATCAATCCCAGCATTCCCTTTGTGATATGGAACCATGTGATACAATGTCAGAGAGATCCATAGACTTACACACAAGTTATTGTCATGAAACTAGAAAAATGCTTGTTTTTTTAACCTTTTTGGCCCCTAATTCCTAAAATTTGGAGGCAATTACCCCCAAAATCAATCCCAGCATTCCCTTTGTGGTATGGTACCTTGCAGTACAATTTCAGAGAGATCCATACACTTGAACACAAGTTATTGTCTTGAAACTAGAAAAATTCTTATTTTTGGCCCCTTATTCCTTAACTTTTTGGGCAATTACCCCCAAACTCAATTCCAGCTTTCCCTTTGTGATATGGAACCTTGTAGTACAATTTCATAAAGATCCATACACTTACACACAAGTTATTGCCATGAAACTAGAAAAATGCTTGTTTTTTGCCCCTTTTTGGCCCCTAATTCCTAAAATTTGGAGGCAATTACCCCCAAATTCAATCCCAGCATTCCCTTTGTGATATGGAACCTTGTGATACAATGTCAGAGAGATCCATAGACTTGCACACAATTTATTGTCATGAAACTAGAAAAATGCTTGTTTTTTGCCCCTTTTTGGCCCCTAATTCCTAAAATTTGGAGGCAATTACCCCCAAAAATCAATCCCAGCATTCCCTTTGTGATATGGAACCTTGTGGTACAATGTCAGAGAGATCCATACACTTACACAAAAGTTATGTCTGGAAGTTACAAAAATGCTTATTTTTGGCCCCTAATTCCTTAACTGTTGGTACCATAACCCCCAAAATCAATCCCCACTTTCCTTTTGTGGTATTGAACCTTATTTTAAAATTTCATTGAGATCCATTCACTTAAACTAAAGTTAGAGTGCGAAAACTAATGTGTCTTCGGACGACGACGACGACACCAACGTCATACCAATATACGACCACAAAAATTTTTTTGCGGTCGTATAAAAAGGAGTTCTTAATTAAGAAATAAACTGATTCGCTGAGCGCAGCTGGATACACCCGCAGAGGTACTACCCTGAACAGCTGGGGCAAAAATGGACACAATATTCAAGCTTGATACAGGTCTGAATTTGGATTGTAATTAAATATTTGACATATTATAGTTTCTGAATAAATGTAGTCAATGAACTTGAAATCGGTTATATGAATTGAATTTATATTCAATTAAAGATTTCTTGCTGTTGTGCAATACACTGTGCTGTTGTGCAATACTTAATAAATCTGTTGCCAGACTATAAACAAATAAAGTTCAATTTCTTCTCAATGTCATATTTGAAATTTATGAAAATCAATATGGAGATTACATCAATAGCTATACATAATTCACCAAGGTTTTATGTGAACTGCTTAAAGCATTTTTGAGTTGTTGTCCAAAAACTGGAAAATCCCCCCTTTTTTAATGAATAAAACCCCATAACTCAGAAATGCAAAATCTAAAATTTATAAAATTCTAAAGGGAGCTTACGGATTGATAATTTAGTCTTAGATGCAAGATTTTTTTATCAGTTGTTAGTGGCTTTGAACTAGCTGTCAGTAACTGCGAGTACTCTCAGATTTGTACTTAGTGTCTTTTTGTTGTTTGGATGTACAACTACCCGACCACGTCCACTTGTATTTGTATTTATCCATCTGATGAGTTTAGCCTCTTTCAACTGATTTTTATAGTTGTTTCTTATATTGTACTGTTACACCACTGTCCCAGGTTAGGGGGAGGGTTGGGATCCCGCTAACATGTTTAAGCCCGCCACATTCTGTATGTACATGTATGTGCCTGTCCCAAGTCAGGAGCCTATAAAAGTGTAATTCAGTGGTTGTTGTTTGTTTATGTGTTGCATATTTGTTATATTTGTTCATTTTTTTACATAAAATAGGCCGTTAGTTTTCTTGTTTGAATTGTGCATGTACAGGTAATTGTAAATATATATACATGTATATCAGAACAAAATTCATTGCGTCACTTTTATTTATGCATCCTTTGGCACAATACAAGTTCTAAAATTACACAACATAAAACAACTAAATGTTATTTCAGATGAAAGTTTTGTTTCAGTTCCATTCATAGGATTTATTAGAATTTTGTATGTTTTGCCAAGTCCAATAATTCGCTCTATGTGACATAGAGACATAGTTGACTAAACCACCAGGTGTCGAACATTCAAGAATTTTCAGTGTTTCTGTTTTTATTTGATGAAAAGGTTGCCTGAGCTCTAGGAGCTTTAGGTTTTATCACGGGATATTCTGTGCTGTCAATAATAATCCAAGTCGTACGAAACTTTAATTTGAAGTTGGATGGTGAAAAATACCTGACTAAACCACTAGATGGCCAAGTGTTAGCCTCACACCACTGTTTAGACATAAAAACAATCCATGTATACACAATATTCTTAACACTAGATTCAATCTAGAATCTAGACAGTTCAAAGTTGGTTGTATGATGCCTCAATTTCATCAAAGTCATAAAAAAACTGATTTTCAACTGACACCCTATCAATTTGAAAATATATGTATCTCAAACAATGTGCTGCTGGACCAAGTGTGGTCAAAACAAATAAAAATTTAGTATACAACTCTAAACCGGTATAAAAATGCATGGCTATGTCACGTGTCTTCATTTCAAAATTCTCTGCTGAAAACATAGGCATTGATGGTGTTTGCGTAATTCCATCTGTGAAGCTCAACATTAGCTCGGCAGTTGGTGGTGGACAGTCATAAATCCTTTCTGCAGTATGAATGACTTCTTCAGGAAAACCAACTTTACAATCAAAACTTTCCTCTAGATTTCTACTACAATATTCATCAAGTTTAGTTCTTTTGTTTTCACAGGAAACTGCCCTGATTTTTCTTTTTGTGGACGATTCAGTCTCTTGCTTGGTCCAGGAAAATAGGCTGGGAATTGCAGTAGACTTAAGTCTCTGTATGGTGGGTTTGCGCCCTGAAAAAGGTTATAAAACATTAGTTTTTTTATAATTAAATGAACTTCCATTAGCAATGTATACTTTGTACTACCTGGCGAAATATTAACTAGATTTATTCATTACAATCTGGATAAAACTATGTTTGCCTGATTCAATGTGTGTTATGTAAATCCAAAGGACAAACAATGAGAGACTTATGCAACAAACATACATTGTTTGTACCTAAATAAATATAATATAGATGAGAGCATGTCATTGTTTTGTTCCTGTTAACATTGTCATTGATAATTTTCAAGAAAGTCTATGAGGCATAGCTGAATCCGGGTCCGTTCGCGCCCAATCACGTTCGCCCCCATGCACGTTCGCCCCCTTTCACTTTCGCACCCTACACGTTCGCACCCAAAGTCCGTTCGCACCCTACACGTTCGCGCCCAATTTTTATTGGTTTTGTGTTTAATAATTTGTAAACGAGTTTTGGTAAGTGTGTTGCTATAAATATATATATTTTTTCATTGTTTCTAAATAAAGTGAGATTCTGACGACCAGTATTTTATTTTTGTGTTGAATAATTTTTAATCATGTTTAGGTAAGTGTCAGTGTATTGCTCTATATATATATATATATATATTCGACCTGTTAGTCAAATGCGTTTTGTTAAAATATACTTTTTAACTTTTTTGGTCTTTTGGAAAATGTTGTTTGTGCAGTATTTAGACCACTCTAACAAGAAATTTGTTTTGCATGCACACGTATAAAATTTGCGGTTTTTATCCAACGCAATCATAGGTTTGAACGTTGTTTTCAATTTAGACTTGCTCTATATATATATAAATTTTTTTTTTCATTGTTTCTAAATAAAGTGAGATTCTGACAACGTTTTTTTAGGTGTTGATAAAATCTTAATCATGTTTTGGTTAGTGTATTGCTATAAATATTTCTTTTTTATTGTTTCAAAAGGAAATGGGATTCTGACCACGTCTTTTTTTATGTGTTGAATAATTCGTAATCATGTTTTGGATAGTGTATTGCTATAAATATTTTTTTTCATTGTTTATGAATAAAGTGAGATTCTGACACACATGAGATCAAAGGAGCCAAGCTGTTAAAAACAATTATCTTTCATGTTTTTTATTTAAAATCTTCAAAGTTTTACTCATACCAAGCTAAATACATGCAGTATTTACATTTAAAGCAAGTTAAAACAATCATGACAACAATCATGATTTTTAAACACTCAACAATAACACCATATTAGGCTGTGTATAAATACCAATTAGCAGTATTCATACATAATTAACATTTAATAATTAATCATCAAATCAATTTAAAACAATATTTCATTTAAAAATTCCCGAATTTTTATTTATGAAAATAAAAATATTTTGATATAAACTTCTACAAAACATCTAAAAATTTATCAGGTTTCTGAATAAAAAAAAGGGTGCGAACGTGTAGGGTGCGAACGGACCTAGGGGGCGAACGTGTGGGATGCGAACGTGTAGGGTGCGAACGTGTATTGGGCGCGAACGGACCCGATACCGGCATAGCTTATGCATTCCTGTCATTACTACATTAGCATAATTACTGCTAAAATAATTCTCAGTATGATATACCTCTTGTAGGAAATCATTATAATTGTAGCAATCACCAGAAATCTCAAACAGATCACATTGAATCGTAATCCAAAAAATTATGACGTCTTGAATTACCCACCCCCTTTTATTCTAAAACGACAATTGCGGTTGTAAACAGACTTTGGTTTATTCGTATGGCGATTACATATATAACTATATATTTCACAAGGAAAATAGGGTTTTACCATGAATAGTTTCCTGCACGTAGTCTTTTTCAGTAAAACGTGCCTTGCAAACAACAGCTGATTGAGATGGACTCCACGATATCATCGTGTTCTCGTCCAATCTGCGTATGGGCCATGGCGTTGATCCAACTTTTCCTTCTTTTTAAGTCATTTGGAAATGCATGTCCTCCTCTTAAATGACATCCAGGTACACAACAACAAGTACTTGGCATCGTTAATTAAAAATATAACTGAAATAGTTGCACAGTGCAGAAACCGGAAGTAGAGGAACAGGATCCGCTACCACGGCGCCACCTATTCAGGAACGATAATTTGCTACTTTATATAACTGCGAAAATAACGTTAGACGGGTTCACGTGCATAAACAGAAATGCGCTTTAAGTTGTATAATATAATTCATGTTCAGTCGACCTTTAATTATAATATCAACGACTGAAATGATTTATAAACATCTAGATTGCAGATAACACTCGAAATTAACCCGAGCTCTTTCCACACGGAATTCAAATAATTCTAGTTTGTCAATCGGTTGACTGCTTATAATGCAAAATACTAATATATCAAAAGTTTTTAAAACTAACAAAACACAATGATCGTTTCTCTATTTCCCAATGTAAATGAAATGAAACAAAAAACATTTTATATCGCAATAAGAAGAGGAGAGAATTCAACATTTCCGGATCTACTTGGAGTCTAATGACCCCCCACGTAGATAAGTTGGATATCGCGGAAGGAAGGATTAACCCGGCAACTAGAAAGGCATTAAAGCACTGCCTTTAAAAATATGAAACAATTCAATAGAGAAAACTCATGGCCTAATTTATAACAAAACAATTTACGAAAAGCTAATATGAAAGACAAGAACCAACGACAACCACTGAACTACATGTTCTTGACTTGGGACAGGCACATAAAAAATGTGGAGGTGTTACAAATACATTTGAATATGATTTGATTATGAACCTTGCCCTATAAGAGATCGACAAAATGTGAATCGAAAATTTTTACGACTTGGTTCAAAAAGTTACAGTCTGAAAGTAAAACGTGTCATTTTACCCCACAGACACGTTATTCTGACTCCGAGTCAATAGCTCGATCTTTTATTGTCGCATGCTTAGCTGCAAGTACCAGTTTTTAAGTCTTTGGGGATCGTGCAGAAAAGTCGAACACGACGGGCGCAGTCTGTTTTACTTCAGAATGTAAAATTCAATATTCGCAAGAACAAATCACTTCACACTTCACGTACTTATGAATATATACTGAGCAAAACAAGTTTTTGATTTAGTTAAGGCATTTAAATTGATATTGTATAGTGTATCTTTATATATTGTAATGTTTAACCACTACTTTAGGTTAGGGTGAAGGTTGGCGCTAGTTAAACGTTTAAACCCACTGCATTTGTTTACACCTGTCCTAAGTCAAGAACCTGTTGTTCAGTGGTTGTTGATTGTTGGTGTGGTTCATATGTGTTTCTTGTTTCTCGTTTTTATATATATATATATTAGCCCGTTGGTTTTCCTGTTTGAATTGTATTACACTAGTCATTTTAGGGGCCCTTGATAGCTTGCTGTTTAATATGAGCCAGTGTCCGTGTTTAAGGTCGTACTTTGACCTATAATGGTTAACTTTTTACTAATTGTGACTTGGATGGAGTTGTCTCATTGGACTTCATACCACATCTTATATCTATCAGCAACAAAGACTTTAAGTTTCATATTTCAAAAATAAACTATCCTTCAAACAAATAACAATTAAAACATAATTGTAACAAAAATAATAAACCTTTAGGTTCAACTTTTTATTATAAAATATTTTTCTGCAATTAGGAAGTTTTTTTTTCTATTATTTTCAGTTTTTCTAACAAAAATATATGTTGCTTGTCTTTTTTCACTCAGTATATATGGCATTTTTCATGTGGTCTTTAATGCGTTACAAAGATTATTGTTAACATGAACCACCTACAACCACTGAACTACAGGCTTCTGACATGGGACAGGCACATATAGAATATGGGGGGATTACGAGTATATTTTTATATGATATGAGTATGAACCTTGCCTGTTCCTGATGAAGGTAAATCCAGAAAAGCGCTTCGGAAGCATTAAATATAAAATGTGTTTTTCTAATTTTTTACAGCACTGGGTCAATTCTTCTGGTGGTGGACTATCAGTCCCCGAGGTTATCATCAGCTCAGTAGTCAGTACTTCAGTACTGGCATGATTAATAACAAACCTTTCTAAATTTGCCCGTTGATAAATTTTAAATTACAAAGAAACTACGGTTTCAACCTCCTCAAGCAAAGTTTGCCTTTGAAGGGTTTGGCTACTATTTTAGGTAATCTTTTATTAATTAGCTCTTCAGCGGTTTCGGTTTTATACATCCTTTGATTTCAAGTATTCGGCTTTTAGCGTTCCTGATGAAGGTAAATCCAGAAAAGTGCTTTGGACGAATGGAATTTATAACGTGTTCTTTTCATTTTCTATATAAGATCGACAAGATGAGGAAGATTTTTACGAGCTAGTTCAAAAAGTTACAGTCCAAAAGTATAACGTGTCCCTCTACCTTACAGACACGTTATTCAGACTTCTAGTTAATAACACTCCTTATTGTCTCTTGCTTAGCGAATAATGATTAGCAGCAAGTGCCAGTTTTTAAGTCTTTGAGGATCGTGCAGAAAAGTCGAACACGACAGGAGCAGTCTGTTTTACTAATCACGTACTTTGAATATATACTGAGCAACAAAAAAGTTTCATATTTCAAAAATTAACTATACTTAAAAAAATAACAATAAATACATAGTTGTAACAAAAATAATAAATCATAAGGTTCAATATATTTTTTATCATAGAATGTATTTCTGCATTTTTGGATATTGTTTTTATTATTGAAAGATTTTCTAATAAAAATATATGTTGCTAAAAAAATTTCACTCAGTATACATATCATTTTTCATGTGGTCAGTAATGCGTTACAAAGATTTTTGTTAAACTAAACAAACAAAAAAACTAAATAAAGACAAAAAAATCTATAAAAAATGGAAGAGAACAGTAAAAACAGGTTAAATAGGCAAATTTGGTAAACATGGTAAAAATAGTAAAACATTCAACGTGTTCAAACATATCGTGCATATCTCATCGAAGAATTGAAACGAAAGTTGATAGAAATAAAATAAAAAAGTAAACAAACTCAACATTATATAGTTAAATTGTGTGCGTGTTTGTGTTTGTATGTGGATGTCTGTGTAAATTGTGGCTGAACTATACAGACAAATGATGATAAAAATAACATACCTAAATGGGTCTTATAAATAGATCATTCCTTTGGAAAAAGGAAGGTAAATGGGGAAGCACTAATGACAGGACGATTCCCCGGATAGTGACAGGACAATTGACCGGATGAGATATAAATAGTCATAACTTTTTTGTTATTCGGTAGATTTTTTTAATATTTGTAGACCTTAGAGATATTAAACTATATTTTATGAAAAAAAAACCAAAATAAGTGAAAAAAAATATTTTTGAGCAATTAAAGTTGACCGGACGGATTTCACACTCGCCGATACACGCTATACATATATTCAATTGGTCGAAAACAAGTGTTAATATCTTTTTTGTTTTACAATATTTGTCGATGAAATTGAGGAATCTGTGAGAATAATAAATATATAATACGAAAATATAAACTTTATAGTAAACAAAAATGTTTTTCTGCAAAAAAAGTTGACCGGACGGTATTGACATTCGCCGATGTACGCGTTGATTATATTGAACTGATCGACAAAAAGTGTTTTATATTTTTTTTGTTTTACAATATTTTTACATGAAACTAAAAATCTACGAGATCAATAAATATATGATATGAAAATATAAACTTTATAGTAAAAAACATTGTTTTCTTCAAAATAAGTTGACCGGACGGAACTAACATTCGCCGATATATGCTTTGAATCGACACAAGTGTAAAATATCTCTTCTTTTTTTTACAATATCTGTCCATGAAATAAATGAATCTGTGAGATTATAATTAAAAATTATTTTATACGAAATTTTAATCTTTATAGTAAAAAAAAAAATGTTTTCTGCAAAAAAAGTTGACCGGACGGAATTAACATTCGCCGATATATGCTTTAAATATATTGAACTGATCGACACAAGTGTTAATATCTCTTCTTTTTTTACAATATCTGTCCATGAAATAAATGAATCTGTGAGATTATAATTAAAAAAATATTTTATACGAAATTTTAATCTTTATAGTAAAAAAAAATATTTCTGCAAAAAAGTTGACCGGACGGAATTAACATTCGCCGATATATGCTTTAAATATATTGAACTGATCGACACAAGTGGTAATATCTCTTCTTTTTTTACAATATCTGTCCATGAAATAAATGAATCTGTGAGATTATAATTAATAAATATTTTATACGAAATTTTAATCTTTATAGTAAAAAAAAAATGTTTTCTGCAAAAAAAGTTGACCGGACGGAATGAACATTCGCCGATATATGCTTTAAATATATTGAACTGATCGACACAGGTGTTAATATCTCTTCTTTTTTTACAATATCTGTCCATGAAATAAATGAATCTGTGAGATTATAATTAATAAATATTTTATACGAAATTTTAATCTTTATAGTAAAAAAAAATGTTTTCTGCAAAAAAAGTTGACCGGACGGAATTGACATTCGCCGATATATGCTTTAAATATATTGAACTGATCGACACAAGTGTTAATATCTCTTCTTTTTTCTATAATATCTGTCCATGAAATAAATGAATCTGTGAGATTAATAAATATATTATACGAAAATAAAAACTTTATAGTAAAAACTTTGAGCCCAAAATGTTGATTTGAGTGAGTTCACCACGGCACACTAGAAGTACTTATATTTAATTAGATTAATCTAATTTTGACACTTGTCTTAATCACTAATCAAGCCAAATAACACGTCATTAAAGTTTTCACACCTGTGACATCAAATACATTTAATTGAATTACCTTATATAATCAGTTGGCAATTAGAATCCAATCAAAGAAGAAATTTGATAAAGTTCAAGATTACAGATTAACTTTTAACTCACCTAGTAATAATTCCTCAATTGTTCAGTCATATCTGCTCTGACTTTCAACCAGTTCAGATCGCACGAATTATAGTTCTACTATATATTGCTTTAATAGCATGTCTTTTTAAAGACAATTTTCAAATATATATTGATATATATATATATTGATTTATAATAGTGCTACTATATATTGCTTCATTCAAAAGCATGTCTTTTTAAAGACAATTTTCAAATACATATTGATATATATATATAGATTTATAATAGTGCTACTATATATTGCTTTATTCAAAAGCATGTCTATTTAAAGACAGTTGTCGAAAATCTATCTATGAATACATAAATAATTAGATATTCTCGACTATCAGTCTCATTGAGCCCTATAGCACAATATATTGTGCATTGCTACTATTATAGCACCTCTTACTAGTAGACAAAATATAAAAATGGACAGTGGGTCAATTGTCTATATGTATACAGATGTATTACATCAAACAGAAATAGTAGATATTTTAACAAATCCTGAAACATCTCGTACATCGAATGTTCCCCCTTATAAGCCAAAGGCAAACGAAGTTTACTTGTTTCAAACTGGGGCAGATGATTGGAAATGTGACCAATATCTGTGGATAAATAATGGTACAAAATCAGTCACCATTGGTAATGATGTTCTTAAAAAACATTTTTACAAAGTCCGATTACCAGGAACA